CAACCCACATCACTCCCGCTCTTCCCCTTCCCTCTCTTCCCAACCTGGGATGAGTCTGGAATGAGTTCTTTCTGCTCCCTGCTGCACCTAGGGCCTGGCTCCACCTACAAGCCCCTCTCAGCTTTTTGCCCCTTTAAAGCACTCTCTTCTGGCACCTCCCTACCAGCATTCAAGATGTTCACATTTCTCTCCTCAAAAACAATTAACAAGGGCTGGGGATTTAGCTCAGTGGCATAAGCGCCTGCCTTGCAAGCACGTGGTCATGAGTTTGATCCCTGGTATGGTAAACAAACAAACAAACAAATAAAAAAAACAATTAACAGAGTCCTTCTTGGGCACATGTTCTCTACGAGAAATTTCTTTGGCTCCTGCTCCTCACTGACAAACATCCTGGTACACTTGTGCAGTAAAACCACCTTCTTCTGACTCTTCTCGACCCGCTGTCTTCTGGCCTCTGTTCCTACCCTACCCCGACTGGGGCTCTGCCCTATGGATATTTCCTCTGTCTGTCCCTGGATTCCAGGATAAAATACAGACTTCTCATTCCTCTGCTACCTCTCCAGTTTTTCCTTAGCCTTCAATGTCCTCTTCCTCTGCCCATTCTTGAACATTTGGGCTCTGTCCTGATCTCTCTCATGCTTCACAGTCCTCAGGGACAACCATCTTCTTGTCTATGATTTGATTTCCATGTGGGTGCTGATACCTTACAGACCTCCGCCTCTGTACTGAATCCAAATTCTCTATGCCAGTATGATGAGCCACTGTACGTCTCCACTTGGAGTTTCCCCAAACATGACTTGTCTGAAATGGAAGTCATCAGCAACACCCCCAAAATAAAGCACGATTCCTAACACACTTTTCCTTGACACCCTCTTTCTGTTTCCTAAACTGGTACCCACTTGCTCAGGCTGGGAAGCTGGACACTCCTCTGACTACCTTCTTCCTCACATGCTATTTTAAAAGTACATTTGAAATACACTACTCCTCTCTATCCCCAGTGCCAACATTTTGATCCAGGATCTCTTTGTCTCACCCTTGGACCAGCTTCCTATCTGGCCAAGTTTTTAAAAAATTCTTTCTCCACACTAAAGCTAGATGATCTATTTTATACACATGTACAATTCTGCTGCTTTTCTACCTACAGCCCACCAGTGGCCCTTAGAAGCTCTTAGAAACAAGTTCAGACTCTAAGGCATGGCTTGCATAAGACCTGCATGATTGATGCCTGCCCCAGCCACAGGCATCTTCTGCTTGTTCCTCTATGTGATGGTTTATCCTAGTCCAGGAGGCTCTGGCCTCTTACCCGCCCTCTTCTGGCTAATTCCAATACACCCTCCAACGTAAACACCTCTTCCTCCTGGAGTCCTTCCTTGATCCCTCCTGTCTGGGTTGGATGCTCCTATGCTGTGCATTCACAGCACCGCATTATTAATTGCCTGTTTATTTGTGTTTACATCACAAACTGAGAGCCCAGCTGAGCAAGGATGGCATTTGCCATAGTTCATTTAAAAATCGCTACCACCTGGCTCAAGACTTGCAGATAGAAATCACTTAGTAAATACTAACTGAATGAAAGAGTGAGGTTTGCTGATGTTCACACTGACTGCCCTGAGCTGCCCGTTCTCCTTTATACATAGCAACTCTGAAAAGTAGACTCCAGATGGGTGGTGAGACCAGAGGGATGGGAATGCATTCTATCTCTGAAGAGGGGGACGCCCATAAAGAAGGTATTGTACAGGCTCTTAAACAGGAGCAGGTTCAAGGTTGATACAGAAAGGTGAAGCTTTCTCCTCTCTTCTGCCAGCAGTGAGACAGCGTCCTTGCCTGCACGTGGAGAATCATTCAGGGCTTTTGAAAATGTGCTGATCTAGCTGCACCCTAGAAGAGGTGACCCGCTTCTTAGGGGTCTCTTCCTGCCCTTTCCCTGTCATTGCTGGAATGTTCTCAGAGCATATGTGTCTGGAAAGTTCATGCTCGTGGTCTGCTCTAAGTTGAGCCCATGAGCTTGGATTTGGAATTTGCTTTCAAGACTCTTGGAAGCCATTAAGCTCTGGTCATTTCTGAGTAACCCCAAAGGGGTTACTTGGGAACACTTGGGTCAGTTCCAACCTGGGTGATTCTTTTCCCCATACCTCCCCTGATAGCCAGAAGTGGGCTTGAGAGAGAGTTTAATCCTGGGCAAACTGTTTACAATGAGAGGGCGGCTCCCTCCCCACCTGATCCAACATTCCCTTCAGGCAAGGTCATTATCAGCAAACAGCCAGCAGCATTCCCACATGGGAATGCTAGAGACAGAGTTAATAAAAATCTATCTTATTAACAGCTTGACCTACCAACATTGATCACATTAGAAACACCACCACACACACACACACACACACACACACACTCCTCATTACGTGCATGGGACAAGGTTCAGCAGAGCTCAAAAAGCCACTGAAATCCATGTATGACTCCTCCAAGTGCCTGAACATCCCCCAAGCTAATAACTCCCGACAAAGCACCACCAGGGAAAATTCCTTGCAGATTTGAGATTTTCACTCTCTTAATCTTTTAACTCAATAAAGAAAACACTCTCTGCAATGAATTAAATAGTTCATTAAAGGGTCCCTTCCCCCATTCTCTTTGATAGGGGTATGGTAGGACCTATAACCTCTCATCCTGAGTGTCTACATGAGGGGCTGACCCCTATTCCCCAGCATTTCTGTTCTGTTTCTTCAAAGAGGCCAAGAATCTACAAGGAGTTGCTGATTTTTAGATTCTGCAACCTTCTGAAACCTCCAACTTTCCTGAGATAGGTCCCACAGCCTGTTGGCTGGGGGAAATGTTTTCCATTCTTTTGATGAGATGACAGGCCCCTAAGTAACTCTACTTTTGCAGTTTACCTGGAGGAGGACCCAACTGGTCTGTCCAGGCCACAGTAGACTTCTCAGTCAATGGCCGAGGCTTTCTGACTTTACTGGGGCCTTACTTGTCATACCTTGAAAGGTTAGAAGGAAACTAGACGGGTTTACTTGGAGAAAGGTTGGACAGGAGGGTGGGAAAGGAGAGATGCAGTGGGAAGGCCCTCAGCTGCTCTCCTCCACTGACTCCTGCCCCCCATATTGGACCTTAGCCACTCCCCTTTTGGGATCTGCCTGGAATTGGGTTCAGCCTTTTGGACATCTATTTCTTTTTATATGGGCCTAAGATAGTTATTCTGCCGCTTAGAAAGCCTGCCTTACAGGGAAACCCATTGCCTGGCAGATGGTAACTGCCAGAAGCCTCTATAGTTTAAGAGCAGCCTCTTCCCAAAAGCATTTGATGTATTTTTTTTATCAGTTTTACAGCTGTGCAACAGGCTGTTTAGATTCATGCAGGCAGAACAGAAACTATGTTTTGTATAGGGTAACTTCCAGTCTCTGAGGGCTGGAAGCCTTCTCAGCAAGGGCTCCACGGGTATGCATGATGGGCCTGCACAATGGGTCTAGTCTTGGCAGTTATTGCCAGGGGTTCTCCCACATTCCCAGGATGGGGAGAAGGCACTTTCTTTTTCCTGGGCCTTTGAGAGGAAATGCCTCCTCTCTACTGACCTACCTTGGGCAGAAGAGACCTATACATGGCGAAACAGTAGCTTCAGACCCCAACTACTTAGAAGTGTTTATCTCCAACACCAGTAGAACTGTCCCCAGACCCATGTACTCCTCTAGAAGGCAAAAATAATCCCTGAGAGCTAGAGTGGCCAGCAAAATGCCTGGGAAAACGAGGACTGTGTGACAAAGTGTGTAAGCCCTGAAGCCAGGGGAGTCAAACAGGCCTGGACTGGAACCCAGATTCAGCTACCCATTTGCTCTGACCCTTGGCTTCACAACTTGGAATCCTGTCTATAAAATGGGAGAATAGTTCTCCCCCTGATTTCTTCCATGTTTGCCCCTCTGCAGCTCATTCTGCTCGTTCAGCCTCCCACTACACTCTGCCGCTAACTCCATTTTATTCAGTGGCCCCTAGAACTTTTCAGTGAATTTTCCCTGCCACTTAGCTTGGTATAGCTGGAAGGCATTCTTCTTCCTCCAGAAACCTCTCCCTGTCTATCCCAGAATGTGTGCCACTTCCCATCTACAACATTTAGTTCAAGTCACTTGATGTTAAGAATATATATGCTTGACCTCCCCTCCCTGGTAAGCGGTGGTGGTGTGACAGACTGCGGCCCTTCCAGGGGGAGAACCACCAGCAGTTCCTGAGATCCACTCCATGTTGGAACTTAGGATGCTGTGAAACCAAACAACCAGCTGCCTCTCTGCTAAGCAATAGTGAACCTACTGATGCACGGCCTAGAGTCAAACATCCCACTTCCTCTATCCCCCTTCTCCTGTCCCCCCCGTTAGCAAATGGGAAACAGAAATCTGAGAGTCTCCTGGGAGCTTGACTATAGCAAATAAGGGGGACTTCCTCCTACCATCTCTTTGAAGGCAAATATTTTTTATTACTGTTTTGCTCTATTCTGATTAATGGTACTGCTCTATTCAATATTCTGTTTTGATTAGTTCTATAATGTTCTGTATTTCATCTCATTTTGATATATGTGATTGAAAGAACAACTATTATAAAGATAATGAAATATACTGTGATACTGTTATCCCGGTAACCTGCTGTGAAGTTCTGTATCAGTTTCACTGTACGATCTTAGTTGGCTTTATTCTGTCTTGTTGCGTTGTATTTTACCACTTTCAAAATAAAATTTAAAAAAAAAGAATATATATGCTTATGCTATGTTTTCAGGTTCCTATGGGTGACTTCTCTACCTTTCCTTAGATTTTTGTTTCTCTGAGAATAAAAACAAAATCATAAGTTTATTTTACTCTTTAGTGTACCACAAGTTCTGGACACCAAGAAAGGCAAACAGGAAGGTCTCTGTGACCAGCAAGCTCCCTAGAAAACCCAAGATGTGAGGAAGCACTTCTTGCCAGGGAACACTGTGATGAAAAGGCCTCCCTTTACCTCCCTCCTGGGCTCCACCTCACCTGGCTGACTCCTTCCATTCCATCTGGTCTCCATCATGCTGCAGTGTGTCCATCTCTGTGAAGAGGGTGGGGTTGGGAGCCTCATCTTCCTCCCCCAGGATGTCCTGGAGCTGCTCAGCAGCTGGGGACCCTGCAAAAGGAAGGTGATAGTTGGCCAAGTGTCCGTGGAAGACAGGAGACCACAGGCTGACCGAGGTGGGACAGGAGCCACGGGCAAGGAAAAGTATCTCGTAATTCATTAAATCAAGCATAGCTTCTGGGCAAAGATGAATTCACATCATTTTGGGTTGAATGTGGACAAGATAGTCTTTGAGATAAAGAGAGGAAAAGATTTGGACTATATTTAAACTACAGGTCTTATAGCTGACAGCAAAGAAGAATGGAAAATGTCCAAAGTAGGATAGCACCAAGAGCAAGAAAGAGAACAGAAAAAGTAAAGTGAGAACGCTCTGATCCAACTTCAGCACCAAACCCAGAGGAGTCTTTTCTCCCAACAGGCTCCAAATGAGTCAGCTACAAAGTGGATATGAAGAAGTCCATGAAGGAGGACAGGTTTGCTCTAAAGTACCACTTAGATCCACTTTCTTCACCGGTCTGCTGAGGACCCAGCCTACTTTCCAATGGCCCACCGGAAGTCACCTCCTGGATGTCCTTTGGGCACCCCAAAGTCCAGCATCTCAGCACTGCACATGTATCCTTCCTTGAACATGCCTTTTCCATCTCTCAGGCCCTCCCTGTCTCTTTCCCTCCCTCTTTTCCAGTGTTTAATGAATACCTACTGTGTGCCAGGCATTGTTTTAAGTGTTGGAAAACCCAGGCATCTTTGCTTGGTCTATGCCTATGTTCCAGAGATAGATAACAAAGAAGTAAACAAATCTATGAACCACCATCTCAGGCAATGGAAGTGCTCTGAACAGAACACATGAAAAGCAGGGCTCCAGGAGGTAGCAGGTCAGGAAGGCCTCTCTGAAAAAGGCATTTGAGCCATGATTTAAAGAATTTGAGTCAGCTCATCTGGAAAAAAGAGGTTCAACTGCTAAAAATATCCAGAGGTGGCAATATGCTTGGTGGTCAGTGTGACTGGGACATGGCAAGCCAAGGGGAGAGCACAATCTGATGCTGAGTGACCAATGACTTGGCTAAAGGCATCCCTGTCCACCCCACAGACTGGACTCCAGTAGTTGTCACCACACTGTTCTCTGGCTTCTAACTCCATATTAGAGTGTTCGAGAATGCAGTCCCTCCTTAGCCACCCCATTGCCCCACCTGCTTCATTTTCTCATCAGCAGTCTCCAGGGCCCCATTAGCTTCCCCTTACTCCCAGCCTCATATTTCCTCAGTTTACCCATCCCTCCTCCCCTCACTTATTTCACAATGAACCCCCAACGGACAGTAATTTAAAGTACTCTCTCATCACATGAATCAAATCATCTCCTGCTTTCCCAATAAAAGCAATGCCCAAACCTGAATCCACTGGCCCCGTCTTCATCTCTGCAAGTGTGTCTGAGGGTTCTAGGGGAGAGCAAGGTTCCCAATGGGCTTCTAACCTAGATATAAATATGCATCTCAGAACTGCCCTGGGCATGAGTAAATTCAGTCTGAGTGAACAGAGTTATTGGGATGAATAAATCAGTTAAGAAGAATGAAACACCTGACACAAGGCTTAGAATGTAACAGGTCCTCAACTCTCTTTGTCACCCACCCCAGAACCCAGCTCATAAGCCTCTCTGTAGAAAGCCATTCAATGGTGCAAACAGAGGGTTTCTGCCCTCAATGGATCTCAAGCGCAGCAACCTTTCACTCAGCCCGGTCACCGCCCCGATTCAGCCCCTCTATGCCACTCCTAACCTTTGCTCTTCCTGATAAGTTTTTTGATCCACCTCCTACCCCACTTCATCAAGAAAGCACAGGCCTGTAGACAGATTCTTGTCTTTTAGTTCTTCTGTCCCTACCCATGTTGCCCCAAAGCGAGTCCTTCCTCTGCCCTGAGCCTTGGTTTCATCCCTCCCTGCCCGCTTCGCCCTACCCCTGCTCCTGTCACCGCTGTAGCCTTGTCCCGCTCTGACTGCCCCATCCAGCCCCAAGCCGCAGACAGCAGCAGAGCTTGCCTTAAAAACATTTCAAACTTGTTCCTGAGTGGACTCTCGATGCTCTTTGGGCTGTGCCATAAAATATGATACATGAGTCAAATAATTTTACTAGCAGAAAATATCTGATTGATGAACCTCACCAATTCTCTGAAGGATCACAGTTCAATAACTATTTTTTTCAGAGAACCAAACTGAGAGCCTTGAGTATCCTAGTTGAGTGCTCTACCACTGAACCACACCTCCAGCCTTCAAATACTAGTCTTTTTAAAATGGAGATTTGATCAGCTTGTCCAGGTGAAAACCCTTCAGTGGGTCTCCACTGTCTAAACTTAGGGTTGGAGATATGGCTTGAAACATGCCTTGGAAACTGATCCTAGCCTCCCTTCCTAGGATCTAGTGTGTCCTTCACCCAGCTGCCCTGTCTGCAGCCTTATGCAAGCCCAGCCAGGTGGTACCGCACACAAAGAATAAGACTTGCCACCCCTGGGACCTCTGTGTCTTCATTCTGGACTCCTTTTGCCCTTTCAAGGCTGGAGAGAAGGTGAATAAATGGAGCTATAATGGAGAAATGAGACTAGAACAGAGCCCGACAGGCCAGAAGCCGTCTGATGCGTTACCTGCTCCCTGGAATAGGTGAGCACTGGAGTCCCCTGCTGTAGGTGCTGCCTCCGGCCCCAGCCTGTTTCCGCTGCTGCCACCTTCGCCACTGCCTCCACGCTCCTAATTCCTCACAATTCAAGCTCACTTTTGTTTCCAGTTAAGCAGCAAGGGAGGGCGTGGAGGAGGGAGTGGAGGGGAAAGGGAGAGAGAGAGAGAGAGAGAGAGAGAGAGAGAGAGAGAGAGAGAGAAAGAGAGAGAGAGAGAAGACAGAAGACAGAGGTATCTCAGGTGCACTGCAAAGAGAAGGGCTCAGTGGCTACGAGGAGGGCTCAAGCAGGAAGCCTGTTCTCCACAGCAACAGGGGTGGTGGCAGCTGAGGGCCTGAGAGCCGACTGGCAGACCTGCCTGTCTCCCCTCCCCCCCGGGAGCCTCCCCCCCATGCCTGGAGGCTCTAGGAGAGCCCGGTCAGCTCCTCTCCTCCGGCTCCTTTATAAAGGCCGGGTAGGATTGGCCCTGAGACTCCCGGGGGCCTCCTTAAGAGCCTGGCTGGAGGTGAGCTGGCTGAGAGTGGCCTGGAGGGCCTCTTCTCAGTTGCTGTCCGAAGCTGGGAAAGTGGGGGGAGCTGAGGTGGGGCTGTCTGAAGGAAGTGTTTGCTGTGGGGTCTCACATTTCACATTAAACAATGTTTGGTCTACAGTGTTCCAAATAGCTGGTTTCTTTCTTCTTCAGACTTAAACCCCAAACTCCTAGTCTGTTTGTGTGCCTTCAAGACAAAGTGCCAAATTTACCCCTCAGTGAGGGTTTTCTGAAGGCCGGCCCATGGCACAGCGGGAACTGGTCACTTTGAGGTGTGTGGTGAACCGAACTGGGAAATTATTTTGCTCCTTTAAGAAACTTCTAATCTCCTGGGTTTGGTTCAGCAAGTGCTTACCGAGGACTTAGAATGTGCCAAGGTTGATTAGAGGTCACTGAGCAGGCGGGTGCTCCAAGGAGCTACAAATCCTGAATTCGCTAAGTCTTTGAGCTGAGAGACAGCTTAGTGACCTTCGAGTCCAAATTCATTTCACAAATAAGAAAAACTCACATCTAGTTTCATCACAGATCTCTAGGCTTCGACTCAGAGGAGAGCCAGTGTCTCCCGACCTCCTCCACTCCACGCTGCCCTGTTTGCTGTCTCCAATGGCCACATTTTGTACCTGAGGCTTGAGAACGCCCATTATAAAGCTGAAAACAACCACGACAAAAAGTCATGTGTAGAATGCTGGGCTCCAAGCAAAGCTACCATCACATAGATACCCTGCGGCAGAGTGGCCAGGAGTTACTGCCTTGTGGTCAGTGGGGAGCTGGGCTCCCTGAGAACCCCAAGTGCTACAGCCTGCATTGCACTGTGGCTGAGGATGGCCCAAGCCCTCCTAGGCCTGTTGAGCAGCTGCTGCAGTCCACATCAGGTCAGGGATTTGAGTGACTTCAATATCCAAAGAAGAGTTGCTAAGGATACCTTTCTATTAATATTTTTTAAGAGTCCAGACCTGGATTCTGCTAATTCCTACAAGTAGGTTCTTGGCAAGGCACTGAGTTCTTTGAGACTCAATTTTCCCCTCTATTAAGTGGGAATAATAATAATCACACCTGCCTCCCTGTGTTCTGGTGGGTTTAAATGAGATGCTATATGTAAGGTATATGGCACAGAGCTTGGCACACACCAGTCACTCCTAAGTGATGTCACTGTTATTATTGTCGCCTGTAAAGGTGACTCTTCCTTTCTTGTTACCAGACACCAGCCTGCCCCCTCTAAACATTGCAAGGACTCAGTCCTTTCCAGCCTCTTAACTCCTCCTTCCTTTCCTTTCCTTGTTTCTTCCCTCTCAAAGCCCCTCCCTCCTTCCCACAGAAGGTTTATCTTACCACATGCAGAGCTACTGCATGGGGTTTCTCTAATGCACTGTTCCCATGTGCATGCAGCATGTCACAAGCTAATCCATGTCATGAGAAATGCCACAGGTCATCGCCCTTCTGTGGGAGTCACATAGCACAGGCCCAACAGCAGGAATGAACTCAGCCAGCAGCTGTGGGGAGAACCATAAGACCCCAGGGATGAGCTTCAGGGAGCATACTAAAGAGGTACACAGAGCAGTGTACAAAATGATCCAAGGTACTGCCACCCAGCAGGAAGTGTAGACTTTGACTCTGATAAAGACTCAGGAGGCGTTTATGACAAAAGGAGCTCAGCCCTGTACATGGTCTCATGGCCCTCAGCTTTTGACATGCCCTTCCAGGAGTTCCCTCTCTCTTAGGCTCCACACTGGATTACTACACCGTCAGCTTTGTGAGGTCAGGTTCTGTGTTGTTCACATCACACGGTTGGCCCCTGATGTGGGGCTCACACAGCATGGACACTTGATAAATATTTGCTGGGTGAGCAACTCTGAGTGTCAGCACTTATAAGCGCACTGGCTGGTATTAGCTGCAACAAGAAAGAAACCAAGAACAAGGAAGCAGAGCTGGGCTGGGGGTGGAGCGGAGCTGCTGGCAGAGCTGCGGAGGGTGACAGAATCTGAAGGCACCAAAAGTATTCGCGCCTAATGTGGATTTGGAGGCCTCAAATTCTAGTTTTATGAGCAATAAGTTCTTTTCTCTGAAACTGTACATAAACTCCAAATGTTCTTTCTCAAAGAACAGGAAAGCATTTGTCCACTTGTGCTTAGGGAATCCTGGAGATGTCTGCCTAGTCCCCCACCGCCCACCCCAATAAGGGTGTCCCCCTGTAGGTGTCTTTGGATAACCCAAGACCTGTGCTCCTGGCCAAAGTTAAGCATCAGAAGCAGCTAGTTGGACCCTTGATCAAATCTGGATACTTTGATTGAGTCTCAGAGTTAAGGGGGCCTTTGCCGATGTTTTGGAGAGAGGAGATCATGCAAACTGGAAGCTGGGGCCACAGCCGGGCAGAAAAGACTGATTTCAGACAAAAGGGCAGTGAATGAGAAGATGTGGACAACAATCAGGGGAGAAGCCATGCAGTGGGGACAGAGAGGACATTCATCCGCTCACTGAGCCTGGCTCTGCGAGAAACTCCTCTGCTTTTATAATTCTCTCTTCTCTGTCCTCTCTCTTCTCTCTTCCTCCCTTCCTCCTTTTCTCCCATGCCCTGTCCTCTTGCTCAAGCCAGGTGAAGATTTTCAACAGAGATAAAATTAACTTCTCAGGGGCTAAAGATTTAGCTCAGCTGATATAAGCGCCTGCTTTGCAAATGCACGTTCGTGAGTTCGATCCCTGGTACCATAAAAAAAAATTAATTTCTCAATAGTAAGTCTCCATATATGAAATTCTAGGGTATGGAATGCCTTCTTCAAAATGAAAGTATAATGGTTATAAAAGAATGCCGAGTCCTTGTGAAAAGGATACTTACACAACAGGAACTGTTTTGCTAAAAAGCAGTGCCCCTTCACTTGGCCTGCAGATGCACAATGGGTAACTAAAAGCAGTATAAAGCTTAGTGTCTCTGTTCTATTTGCTATCTGTTTCCTTTACACTCTAAGCTTTAGGTCCATGTAGGCATGTCAATCAACTAAAGAATGTCTGTATAAAAACTAGTGATAAAATGTTTATTAGCCCTAAATTCACCTAACCTGTCTCATCCTCTTTCAAATCTGAGAACATCAAGATAAGAATAAGGTATTTTCAAGATTTTTCAGGAAAATCCAATTGTCATCTTTTACAATGTTCTATTCCAAATGCCCTGTAGCAACACCTAGAAGTATCCAGTCATTGGTCTAAACCCAAAGTCACCTTGGATTCCAGGTACAGCTTTGCAGACAGATCACCATGACGAGATCACCCCCTAAGTGGGAGCAATTGCTCCATGAGAGAAATGGGGCCTGTACCTGCTAAGAGAACCGGGTTTCCCCCTTCTATAAACAAGGACTTTTCCAGAACCGCCTCATAGAACCAGAACTAAGATAATGATCAATTAGAGCAAAGTCTGACCGAGCCTGTTTATACATGTCTCTTGTTCCCTTGCTCTAATTCTTTCTCTTTTTTTTGGTACCAGGAATCAAAGTCACAACCTTGTGCTTGCCAGGCAAGTGCTTATGCCACTGAGATATATCTGCAGCCCTCTTTCTCTATTTAAACCTAAAACTTAGATCAGTAACCCTAAAGACAGGGCTAGAGTTAGCTGGTCCACCTTTGTCTTTCCAATATGGCCGTATGGATTACATTCGTTTCCTACTTTGCTTTTGGGGGTTGAGTGGCCAGATCTGTCTGGTTGGGAATCCCAGAGCCAGGCCTCTGGCTTGACTGCTGTAACAGAACAAGGTGCTGGGAATCAGGAAAATAGAGTGGAGTGAAATAGAGCTAGAGAAGACGAAAGAAGTAAAAGAAGTCAAAGAAAGACACAGTGACCCTGGGCCTGGAGAAGGCAAGAAGCTCAGTGGGGTCAGAGGGGCTGGCAGAGCTTGGCTCATGCATGGGTGACTCCTCAGTGTATTCATAGTCGGTACCAGGCAGAAAAATCTCTGTATTGCAGGTAAGGGAACTCAACAAAGACTCACTGAGAAATTAAAATCAGCCTTTTGCTTCCAAGTGCCCCATATTACTCTGCTGTGCCAGGCCAGGGAAGTCCTCAAGCATCTGTAGAAGATCCCACAAAGAAAAGAGGCGATGCTAAACATCTCTCTGGCACTCACCCATCCTGGAGTGCCAAAATGATAAGAGGTAAATAAATGTACCATATCCATTATTTATAATTTAAGATGTATGAAACCACTCAAAGTCTTCTGTTCTTGTGTTACCCTTATCATTTTGGTTTAGTGAATATAGATACAGTAAAGTGAAGAAATTATTATTAAAAGTAAAACAGACAGTTGCTGCTTCTCCCTTCTTAGCTAAGAGAGAGTTCAGAAACTGAGCAACAAAGAAGTGTGAAGAAACCCGGAGGCCAATGACAGGGGGTTAGGAGGTGCCAAAAGTAAGCTAGGAGGCCGAAACTGCAGAGAAAGGTGCCTGAGGGGAAGTTTCCACGGGACAGAAAATTTTAAAGAATAGAGATATCTAGTATCTCACTTTAAAGATTGTGTATCTCTGCAACGTAAAAACCCTACATGGTTCCAAACCTTCAACAAGATCTGTTACTCACATATATGCCTTAGATGACTTACTTGAGGAAACAAAGAACAGAACTCCATGCTTGTACACTGGAGAGGAAAGCGGTGAACAAATACAGAAGGCGAAATGTAAGACTGAGCATTCGCCAGGCAGGGGCTTGCAACCAGAGAGATAGAGAGATGAGAAGTCTTTAGAAATTCACAGTAATTTAGGAAAAGGCAAGAACCTCCCCCAACGTGGCAGGGAGGCTGGAGTCCATCTTAGCTAACTCTCAGGGCATAAGGCTATGAAAACTTTATATTTATTAAGGGTTTTTAGTGCTTCTCTTGCAGATGAGGGTCTCTTAAAGTGTTAAGGTGAATAAGTAGGATTCTCTTCTAATAAGGTTTTTGTTTGTGTTTATTTTTAGGAGAATAGCCCCTGTGA